TTTTTAATGTTATTTTAGTACAGGGTACCCCAAATTATATACTAAATAGCCACCTAATAAAAGGGGGTCATGAATTAATTCACCTGGCTGTTTTGTGAATGGTCAGTTATTGAATTGTGCTTCAAAATATTTCAGTCCCTTAATAATAGGCTCACAATTAGATCTGCATTGGATTTCTTTTTTTATGAGTTTAATTTCTTGACACAGGTAGAATGTGCACCTTCTCCTTGGCCCAAGGGGAACGGCAAATGCTGCTTTTAAGATAGTGCTTGTTGTCTATATATCTTACAAAAAAAGGGGAAGAAACTGTTTTCTCCCTCCATTGGATTTGCTTATCAGAACAGATAAGATTAATTTGTGTGATCAGCCTTTCATCAGGCAACAGTGTTCATTAGAACCTATCAACCTAACGATGATGAAAAATTACCTACTACACCATCTTTTGATAAAAACCAGCCTGGGATTTCACTTGGGGACAGATCTTGAAGGTTTTAACAAAACACAATGGATCTCGTAGAGGAGAATTTATTGTGGCTCAGAGCTGTAATCACACCACGCCGGAGGTGCTTGTCTCACGGCCCGATGCCTGTCTGCAATTGTTCCCCAGGATCTTGCCGAAGTCTGCAAACGCGATGGAGCAGATCGCGATGAGAAGTGCGTCGATCGAGTGATGGGTCTGGGGAGTTCGCGGTAAGCGGTGCCATTCCGCAAAGTTTTTCAGGTGCTCCTCTCTAGCGGGGTGATAGGACTGGAGATGGAAACAGTGTGAGAGCCATTGTGGGGTAGTGGTGAAGATGCTGGACCAGGAACAGGCAGATCCTGGTTCTACTCTGTCTCAGCCCCAGAAGATTTGGGCCAGTTCTTCTCTCTCAGCCCAAAACCAGGGTGGTACAGAACAGTGTTTCTCAACCTCAGCACCTTTAAGACGTGTGGACTTCAAGCTTGCTGGCTGGGGAATTCTGGGAGTTGAAGTCCACACGTCTTAAAGGTGATGAGGTTGAGAAACACGGGTGTAAAGAATAAAAAAGATGACCTTGACAGAGATAGGCCAGATCCATTACCAAACCGATAAGGGGAGAAGCATGGCTGAAGTCCAAAACAAGAAGGCATTTGCAAGCAACTCAGATACCTCCTTAATTCATCCCAGGGATGGCCCCCAGCGATGGACTTCAGTGCCCACAACTTCTTGGGCCTGCTAACTAGGAGGTGATGGGAATTGTAGTCCAACAGATTTGGAGGGCACCAGCCTGGAGCATAAGATGGGGGAGAAGTACAGGACTGTTGGTCTTCCAAGATACCCTTGATTGATTATGTGCTTTCAAGTTGGTGTCAACTCTTAGTGACCACATAGATCTGTCTTCTCCTGGAAGGTCTGTCCTCATCCTGGTCCTTCAGGTCTTCCAACGATGCCCCTATCGCCACTGTAACTGAGTCCCTCCTCCTGGCTGCTGGTTGTCCTCTTCGTCTCTTTCCTAACACCTTTCCCAGCATCAGAGCCTTCTCCAGAGAGCAGGATCTTTGCATAATGTGTCTGGAGTAGGATCATTGGAGCCTGGTGGTTTGTGGCTTGAGGGAGAACTCTGGGTTGGAAGATTCTGTTACTATACCCAGTATCAATAAAAGTAGTTTTAGTCTTCTTATGGAGTTGATTTCTCAGTTTGGTCTATGTAGTGGTGGAAGTGTTGGATTAGGAGTGGAAAGTCCTGGGTTCTAGTCCATCCTCAGCCACAGATGCTCCCTGGTGGACTTTGAGCCAGTTGCATGCTCTCAGCCCAACCTACCTCGCAGGATTGTTGTTCTGAGAAAAAATCAGAGGAGAGAACACAGTGAGCAGGACAGGGGTCTTCCTGAACAGAAGGTGGAATATAAATCTTACCAGTAAATAACTATCCCTTTCTGAAGGGGGAGACTAGGTCCCAGTCAAATTCATGTATTTTTCTTTTAATTGCATTAAAAATCCCATCCTGTCTCTTTCTGTCTGCCCCACCGCCTCTGTCCTATTATCTATTTGTTTAAATTATTTATAGCCACCCACTCCAATGGACTCTGGGTGGCTCACAAAATCGGTAAGAAGTAAAAACAGTTAGAAAGCATAACAATAATCCCCCTGTTCTTCGCACAGTAGCTCACTGAGAAAAAGCCTGATTTATGTCGTTGGCAAGGATGAACTCCGTGTAGCTCTTGAGAACAGCCTCTTTCTTTCCCAGAGAATGAACGCCCGGTTGTCCCGTATGGAAGAGTTGGTTTTGGGCCCCCTGAGCAGGGCCAGGGGCTTCGTTTAAGGCAGTGTTGTCCAAACTTGGCCACTTTAAGATGAGTGGACTCCAACTCCCAGAATTCCCCAGCCAGCCATG